TTGGCCTCATAAAATGTGGTAGGGAGTGTTGTAGAGAGTATTGCCTCTTCTTCAATTTTTTGGAAGATTTTGAGGATAGGTATAAAATCTTCTTTGAATGTTTGGTAAAATTCACTGATGAAGCCATCTGGTCCTAGACTTCTATTTTGGGGAAAATTTTTTATGGTTGTTAAATTCCTCACTGTTGATCATATCCTCACCTCTCCCCACCCCCCACCCCCAGTGTCTGTGTCTATTGGCTAGGCTTATACTCAAGCATACAAGTCCTTTGGTTGATCTCTCCCCCTTACTCCCACCCTCCCCTACATCTACACAATGGAATACTACGCTGCAGTAAAAAAGAAGGAATTCTTACCGTTTGCAACTGCATGGATGGAACTCAAGAGCATTATGCTAAGTGAAATAAGCCTGCCTATTACTCTTACAATGCTCTGATGGAGTCAGATAGTTCTTAGAGTTCATTTTTTATGCTCAAGTCTCTTTTTTCTTCTGCATCATTTCTAGGTTTCTATCTTTGATACCCTAACCCTTTTCTCCATCTGGTCCACTCAATTTCCTATGCTTTCTATTTAATTTATTTTATTTGTTATTGAATTTATTGAGGTGACATTGGTTAATAAAGTTCAGAGGTTTCAAGTATAACACATCTGTGTATTACATTGTGTTGTTTACCACCCCAGGTCAAGTCTTCTTCCATCACCATTTATCCCTTTTAAACCTTCTTCCATTTCCCCTGATCCACTTTTCCTTCTAATAATCACAATACTGTTGATTGTGTCTATAAGGGTTTTTTTTCCTTAGTCCCTTCATCTTTTTCACCCAGCCCTGTAATTCCCGTCCCACTTGAAAGCTGGCAGTCTGTTCTCTATTAGTCTGTTTCTATTTTGTGTGTTAGTTTATTTTTGTCAGAATGGCAATCATCAATAAATCAACAAACAACAAGTTGTTGGTGAGGATGTGGAGAAAAGGGAATCCCTGTGCAATGGTGAGAATGTAGATTGGCCCAGCCACTGTGGAAAGCAGTATGGAGTTACCTCAAAAAACTAAAAACAGAACTGCCTTATGACCCAGGAATTTCACTTCTGGGAATATATCCAAAGAAACCTAAAACACTAATTTGAAAGAATATATGCACCCCTATGTTTATTGCAGCATTATTTACAATAGTCACGATTTGGAAGCAGCCCAAGTGTGCATCAGTGAATGAGTGCATAAAAAAAGCTGTGGTACATTTACATAGTAAAATACTACTTCGCTATAAAAAAGGAAATCTTACCCATTGCAATAGCATGGATGGAGCAGAAGAGCATATGTTAAGTGAAATAAACCAGTCTGAGAAAGACAAGTACCATATGATTTCACTCACATGTGGAATTACTAATTCATCCTTGATCTCTTTTATTGAATTCTTCTCCAGAATTTCTGTTTGCTTCTTTTTTTAAGTTTCAATCTTTTTAGTGAAGTACTTGTTTTGCTTGTTGATTTGGTTTCTGAGTTCATTAAACTGCCTGTATTTTCTTACATCCTGTTGAGTTTTTTTCAGAACTGCAATCTTGAATTCTGTCATTTAAATCAGCGGTCGCCAACCTTTTGGACCTCACAGACCACCAGTGGTCTGCAGACCACCAATTGGCGACTGCTGCTACAAAGGTTTCCTTAAACCAGCAGTCACCAACTTTTCAGACCTCACAGACCATCGGTTGGCAACCACTATTTTAAATAATGTATTTCCATGTTTTTAAGTTTATCTTCTGAAGAATTTTCATTTTCTGTCTGAGCTGCCTCGTTATCTTGGTTCTACATGGTATTTGATGTGATCCTTCTCTTTTAGGCATCTATGTATGAGTGGCACTTCTCTAGTAGATTGATAAGAGGTAGTCGAATATTCAGTTGTTTTCTGGTGGATGACACTGAATCACACGTTTTTCAACTCTCTTGCACTTCTCGGGCTTTTCAGGTCTCTGTAGGGTGGTGGTAAATGGCCTGTGTTCCTTGGGAAAGTGGGTGCCTCCCCTGTGATCTGGTCACCCACAGGGGCATGTAGTAGGCAATGGACTCCAAATCTATAAAATCCCAGTACTGTCCTCCCCAGGCAGACACTGACAGCAGAGCAGCTGCCAATGTATGGGGGTGGAGTGAACTGGGGGAACCCAGCCACCTCCTTTGTTGCTTTGCCCTACTAGCAATGGTAATCAGCATATCTCCACAATGTCTCCTGATGCCTCCACTTGATCCTGGGACTAGCTGCAGAGTGCCCTCTTTGCTCAGGGCAAAAGGTGTTTCTGTAGACCCAGTTCTTGGGTTTGCAGATAATGTGCTCTAGAACCCAACACAAAGTGGGAGGGAAGACAAGCTCTGGGAGGTTAAGGGAAGATGGGCAGGCTCCATGGCTTTGTTTCTCTGTCTGGAATGCTCTTCCAGAAAACCATGACCACACTTCTGTGCTTTGTCCCTGCCCAGGTCACTGGGCTCAGCCACAGCTACCACTGCCCACTCCTGCAGAAATACTAAGTGCTCCTCCTGGCTGAAGGGAGTGCCAGCCATAACCTGACTCCTCCACTCTCTGGGCTGAGCCATGCAGTGAGCTCCAGGCTGCTGGTCAGTGTTCGTAGCTCCTTTGAGCTCTTCTCCCACCTTAACTCCCCCATTGGCTCCTACTTGCTCACCTTTATTTCTTTTTTTTAACTATTCACCCAAGGATATGCTTTTTTATTGATTTTTTTTTTTTAGAAAGATGGAGAGAGGAAGAGAGAAATATCAGTGTGCAATTGATTAGTTGCCTCCCACACAAACAACCATCAGGGATTGAACCTGCACCCTGGGTATATGCTCTGGCCGGGATAATGCTCCATGAGGCAGAGCTACTTGCCCACTTTTTGGTGTTTCAATGCACAGATATCTCAGACATTGTGCATTGGGCAGGGAATCCTTTGTTGAATTATAACCATTCAAATTGTTGAAGCTTCAAGGGGAGAGAAACAAGGCTATTTCTCATGCCACCATTGCTCTGACGTCACTCTCCCAAATCTCCAAAATAATTTTTAAAATTGGTTATGAAGGGCTAATGAGAGATAGACCTATAACTGAAGGGGAATGTGGCATTAAATTAGAAAGACATGAGCATATTTAAAAACTGAAAGGAAGGACACAGTTTGAATGACAAAAGTTTAATATACAAGAGAGAATGATTAATCAAATTTCGTGAGAAGTCGAGATGAGACCAAACAGAAGTATAAGAATGAATTTTATGTAGGAGAAGGAACAATAAACTCTAATTAACAGGAGGAAAGGAACATAGAATGAGTATGCATGTAAATAAGTTGTTTGTGTGTGTGTGTGTGTGTGTGTGTGTGTGTGTGTGTGTGCGCGCGCGCGCGCTGCTAACAGGAATTCTAACCAGTGGCTTGTATTTCAAGCATTTCAAGCACTTGGGTGACAGTGAAGATGAAAATGGGACAAAGTGGGTGAGTTTGAGATGATGTCTGAAAAAGGTTGAAATCAATTTCAGATGCGACAGAATTTCCAGGCACTTTTTGCGTCTGACCTATTATGTCACTTTTTCAGCAATGTTTCACAGCTAAACCTAAAGAGTGAATAATGACATTTATTCAGGGTTATGTTTTATTAGACAAGTGCAACAAGAACAAAAGAAAGAAAGAGGTTAAAGAGATTAGGAAGTTAAGAAATTCACTGTGATGGAGTACATAGTCTCCAAAGTGAAGAAAGGTGAGTAAAAAAGACTGCAAGGAGATAGAGGAATAAATGAACTAATGGTCTTGACTTAAAAAGTGGCCAGAGCAGTATTTAAAATATTAATTGGAAATATAGATATTTCTAGTTTAGGAATGAGTTGCCTGAATTAGTAATGTTTAAAGTAAAACAATTCGATAAATGGTAAGGTCTGGAGTGTGACTGGAAGTGGAGCCAGAAATAAAGGACACAGATCTTCAGAGATAAGACGGTCAAGGAACTGAGAAACCAGAGTTTTGGATGGGTCTCACACATTGACACAACTAAGTGTATAAATAAGAGAGTGAGACAACTGCATAAAAAAATAGAATAAAAAGAGGTTGATACAAAAAGAAGAAGGCAAAAGGTAAGCTGCACTACCCAAATTGCAAAGAAATACCAATCTTATAAGAGGGTGGGGGGAAATAGTAAACTTCACCCCAATCCTACTTCTCTGGAAAGATGATGACCAATCTACCATAATCAAAGAACAACTACCAATATTCTTCCACTGTCAGCCATATCTGAAGCAAAGAATGCAAGATCATAAAAGTTTACTCTGGGGCCAAAGGTAAAATAATAAAAAACTGCTAGGATTCCATTTCTAACTTTAATCTTTAATTTATATCCCAAATAAATAAATCTTTTTAATTTAAAGTGTCTGGGCTTCAAGAGTGTTTAATTGGGCTGAGCCACAAACATATCCAAGGGAGAACTAAAATAATTCCATGAATAACTAAAGCTATCCTAGAAATCATTTTGCTATATAAACAGATAACATAAAGTCTTCTCCAAAACATAATTTACAACCCCTAAAAACAGACACCAATAGTTTTCAAACTGGTACTAAAGCACCTGAAAATCAAGAAGTACAAAAAAGTCATTAAAATAACATTACATTTTTAAAAATATGAATATATAATTTAATAGTAAGCATATATATTATGCATGATTATTTAAATAGAGGATAATTTTAAGTTGATAAGTTTTCTCTTGTCACTTATAATTTTATGTAAGTTAGGGAAAGAATAATAATTAAATTTCTATTGTTCAATTTTAGGTGAAAGAATGTACCAAACTCAGAGTATAGCAGATACATACAGGAATGTAGTGTATAAATCACTGAGACACTTTTATCTATCCATTCATTCTTTCTCTATGTAAATCAATATTAACCAATGGTTACTCAAAAAATTTTAACATATTCCAAATTTGTTTATAGATGAGATAAAATATTAATTTAATTAACAATTAAGAAATGTTTTACTTACCTCTTCCATTTGATTGACCTGTCGCTGAAACCACTTTAAAAAATAAAAAAAAAGGACCAGAAAAGAAATAATTATTGACAAGTTAAATTTTTGAAGTGGAATAAATGGATATATGTGTATGCATGTGTGTGTGTGTGTGTGTGTGAGAGAGAGAGAGAGAGAGAAAGAGAGAGAAAGAGAGAATTTTCATATATCAAAAATTAGTACTGAACCAAACATCATTTATCCTAGGACTTAGAATAAGGCTAGTGTAACATACAATTGTAATATAAAATTTTAAAATATATATGTATCAGCAAGTTAAAGAATTTTACTACTTCAAACATTAGAAACTTCATTTACATGTATTTCTGCATTTAATTTTAGTAAACTTAAACTGCAATATTTTGAACATACCTTAAAAAGAGATTCCAAAATCTGGAAAATAAAATTGTAATTAAACATTTTAAAATAAAATTCTTCACAATGTGTGATAAAACATTTCATTCAAGTCTTGCAATTTTCAATCACAAAAACGTACAAATTATTAAAACATAAGTCTATAATCCAAAATAACAATATTTTAATATTAATAGAAAGGTTTTAATACAGCTTGCATAGACAACTTAGTTTTAGAGAAATATTTCCATCTTTATAGATCTATATTAAAATAAATCCCAAAATAGTTTACATATATGATTTTATATTTTTTAATTTAGGTTTAGAAAATAAAATTCAAATTCATCTCAAAAGAGCATTATTTTTTCATATAGCAAAGAGTACAATAATGAAAAGCAAGAATTACCTTACCAAACATTACCTCTTTAATATAATATTTTTCTGCTAAAGGGCCTAAAAATCAAAATATAAAATACTACTACTAAATATTTTAACAGAAAATGCAAAGATCTGGTATAGGAGCTTGTAAGAGAAACTAAATACACTAAACCAATCACACAGTCTAAAATATCAATATTTACCACTTAGAAAATGAAATGCTAAAATGATTACACTTGCCACACAAAAAAACACTATCAGAGATAAAAGTTTTGACATATACTATTAAAGAAAAATATTACTACATGCATTCAGGCAGAAGAAACAGTACTTAACAAAACAAAAAAATCAGGATAGCCTAAAGTTTCCCTTCTGCAACACTAACTATAGATCAATGGTTCAAAAAGTGTGAACCCGGAAAAAAAAAAATGGCAGAGGTTTAGACGGACATGTCGGTGCCTTGTCCCAGAGCAGATAAGGGCAAGCAGCTGAAACGGGTAACATACAGCCCGAATAAGCAGAGGAGATTCAGCTGACAGTCTGCAGCCAGGAAAGACAGAGAACTCCTAGAAAAAGGGAACGGTTAAAGACTGCGGCTAAAACCTCTCCCGGTGCGCCAGCTCAGCCATGGAGACCGTGCCATCTGGAGTGGCTATTACTGGCATCCAGGGACCAGCTACTAACCTGGAAGCAACGGCTCTCAAGCAGCGCAGCTACGTGAACTCAGAGGAGCCCTGCTTCTTCCCCCAAAGGTGCGGTTTGCAATTTAGGTTGGAGAGTGGGACGTGCGGGGGGGGGGGGGGACTCTGCACCCCACAAAGTCCGCGGCCATTGGAGCCAGTGTAACCCACGAGTGTAGAAGGGCTCCCCCAGGGCTGCTGGCAGAAGGGAACACTATAAATAAGCCCACAGTTGGACTGGACGCAAATGGGCAGCCTCAGATTTTGCCAGTCGGCCGGCTACTTGGTGCCAGGGGCCAGAGCGCGCACAGAGACTCTGCGCAGATCTGGAAGGTGGAGCCTTGCGAGTTCGCACAACTTTCCAGGCTCTTGTTTTTACACTTCCTCTTAAATCTGTGCATGGGATTACCCAGTTGGGGTCAGTCGCAGAGGCTGTAAGGGAAGGTTGTTTTTGGAGAGCCTGGGAAACAGAGCTGGGAGTGACGACTGGGGAACCAGCTCTGGGCGGAAGACGTTACCAAACCAGTTTCAGGTACAATAGAGAACACTTCCTCAGAGAGGACTTATAGCCTCGGAGGTCAATCCCGACACACTGCCACCCAGAGGCAGAGCCACAAACTGACTCTTCTGTAAACACAGATAAAGGCTGTCTGGGAAACCAATATGGCCTGCCTTAAAGTCAAGACTGTGGCTTACAACACGGAGGAACAGTGTATCAGAGGGAAATTCAACATTCTCCTGAATACCTGGCGTGCCAAAAAGAAGAGCAGAAGATCTGAAGCACCTTCATTACAGCACATTTTTAATTATTTTTTTAAATTATTTTTTCACCTTTTAACTAAGAAACCATTTTTTTTTCTTTTTTCATCACCTGATTTTAACCTTTTAATTACTACATTTTTATTTTTAACCAGTATTATTACTGTTACCATTTTACCATTTTTTTTAAAGTGTCATTTTATTTTCTCTTTATTTTGGGACTAGGGTTCTCCATTCTATTTTCATTGTTCCTTTAGCACAGCCGTGGGAAAACTACGGCCCGTGGGCGGATCCGGCCCGTTTGAAATGAATAAAACTAAAAAAAAAAAAAAAAAAATGCCCTTTTATGTAATGTTTACTTTGAATTTATATTAGTTCACACAAACACTCCATCCATGCTTTTGTTCCGGCCCTCCAGTCCAGTTTAAGAACCCATTGTGGCCCTCAAGTCAAAAAGTTTGCACACCCCTGCTTTAGCATCATTTTCCTCTACCTCAATTTTGCCTCTGTGCTAAAACCCTCTTCCCCACTTTTCCCCTTTTGCTGTCCTGTTTCTCTTACCCTATTCCTGCTTTAGATATTCCCTATTCTTTTAACCCCCTGTCTAAATTTCACCCTACTTATATATCCCTTTTCCAATCACCTGCTCTAAATCCTTATACAACTCTCCCTTAACTTTCTTCACTATCCAAATTTTTTTTAAATATATTTTATTGATTTTTTACAGAGAGGAAGGGAGAGAGATAGAGAGTTAGAAACATCGATGAGAGAGAAACATCGATCAGCTGCTTCCTGCACATCTCCCACTGGGGATATGCCTGCAACCGAGGTACATGCCCTTGACCAGAATCGAACCTGGGACCTTTCAGTCCGCAGGCTGACGCTCTATCCACTGAGCCAAACCGGTTTCGGCTATCCAAATTTTTTTTCTCTTCTTTTCTCTATTGTTTTGTTGTTGTTTGCTTGATTATTGAGTATATTGGGGTTTTTTTAAGGATTGTTTGTGAGGTTGTTCTGCTTTTTCTTTTTCTGTTTCTCACCCCCCCCCCCCCCCCCCCCGGGTTATTTCTGTGCTTCTGTTTTCCCTTGCCTCACTTGATATTATTGGTTGTTTGTAGATTGTATTCATCTCCAGGGATCAGTTGCTGGAATTTGTTGGGATTAGTGGCGGTTCTATTGGAGTTTTCTCCTCATATGAATAGTTTCCTCCCCTCTTCTACTTCATTCTCTTTTCTCTCTTACATTTTTTTGTTTTCTGTTTTCTCTTCTATCTTTTTCTCTTCTTTCTTCCTTATACCCCAACTCTCTTAGCTCGGGTGGCCACCTTTATTTGGGATTATTAATACCGTAAATACATTTGTGTTCAGTGCCTGGTACGTCGTGCCTTGTGTTGTATTTTGTGCCTTTACATCAACGCAGTAGATCCAAGCAACAGCAGCCTCCTGATGACCGCACGCTCTGTCTGAAGAACAGCTGCTGTGTGTGAAGCCTCCCTCCACCAGCCAGAAGAGCCACCACAGCTGTGAGCAGCACCCATCCGAGGACCTGCTACCAACGGAGGAACAGCTGCTACCACAACCACCCAAGGAGCAACCACAGCCCGAGGAGCCACTGCCACCCAGGGAGCAGCCACTGAGCAACTCAATATCTATATATATATCGGTGAGATCAAACATGGGTAAACAAAGAAACCCCCAAAGGAAAGAAAAGGAGGACTCGCCAGAAAAGCAGCTAAGTGATATAGAGGCATGCAACATGACAGAAAAAGAATTCAGAATAAGGGTCCTAGAGTGCATAAACCAGATAGAGGAAAAAATCAACAACATATACAAGAAGCTAGAAGAAACAGATGAAAAATCAACAACTTAAGTAAGACCCAAGAAGAAATGAAGAGCGATATAGCTGCAATAAAAAAAAAAACACCACTGAAAGTATCAACAGTAGACTACGAGAAGCGGCGGACCAAACTAGTGAATTAGAAGACAAGGAAGCAAAACACACCCAAACTGTACTTCAATTGGAGAAAAAAATTAAAAGACAGGAGGAGAGTCTAAGGAAGCTTTGGGACAACATGAAACGAAACAACATACGAAAAATAGGGGTGCCAGAACAACAAGAAAGAGGAACAAGGATTAGAAAACCTATTAGAAGAAATAATATCAGAAAACTTCCCGGAGGTGGGGAAGAAAAAAGTCACACAAGCCCAGAGAGTCCCAAACAAGGTGAACCCAAAAAGACCCACACCAAGACACATCATAATTACCATGGCAAATGTTCAGGACAAAGAGAGAATCTTACAGGCTGCAAGAGAGAGACGGAAAGTTACATACAAGGGATCTTCCATTAGATTATAAATGATTTCTCAACAGAAACACATCAGGCCAGAAAAGAATGGACAGAAATTTAAAAAGTGATGCAAAGCAAAGGACTGAATCCAAGAATACTCTATCCAGCAAGGCTATCATTCAAAATTGAAGGGGAAATAAGAAGCTTCACAGACAAAAAAAAGGCTAAGGGAGTTTATCACCACCAAGCCAGGAATACAAGAAATGCTAAAGGGACTTGTGTAAAAAGAAGAAATAAAAAGCTCTCAGAAAGAAAACAGCCACACAAAAAAAGAAGTACCTTTCAATAATAACTTTAAATGTAAACAGAAAAAATGCTCCAACCAAAAGACATCAAGTGGCTGAATGGAAAAAAAAAAAACATGACCCATACATCTGCTGTCTACAAGAGACCCACCTCATTAGAAGGGACTCACACAGACAGAAAGTGAAGGGATGGAAAAATATCTTTCAGGCGAACGGAAAGGAAAAGAAAGCTGGGGTAGCAATACTTATATCAGACAAAATAGACCTCAAAGTGAAGGCCATAACAAGAGATAAGGAAGGCCACTTCATAATAATAAAGGGATCAATACAAGAAGAAGATATAACCGTGGTAAACATATATGCACCCAATGCAGGAGCACCCAAATACATAAAAAAACTCCTGGAAGATATCAAAGGAGAGATCGACAACAATACAATCATAGTAGAGGACTTTAATACACCACTGACATCACTGGATAAATCCTCTAGACAAACAATCAGCAAAGAAACAGCAATCCTAAATGACTAACTAGATCAGATGGACTTAATTGACATCTTCAGAACACTTCACCCCACAGCCACGGAATATACATTCTACTCAAGTGCTCATGGGACAGATTCAAAAATAGAC